GCACTGGCCTCTGTGGTCTAAACGGTATGACGCTCGCCGAAATAGCGAGAGATTACAGGTTCCATTCCCACCAGACAACTCTTTTTTTCATACAACTATGATAAGAAACTTACGTTGATGTACTTGAATTTGAGAACTGTATTATTATCTATTTGATTTATATATATACATATATATATAGGTATTAAAATATAATATTCCACTAAAATGGGTTTATATTTTTTCAATGACAAAAGACTAGCTTTTACCAGCTTTTGCCTACAGGGGCGTACTCTAACTCTAATAACCATAAGGGTAGCGAATTTAGAGTTATAGCCAGCAAAATAATTATTTTGTAATTATTATTTAGATAGCTATCAGCAACAGCATAATCTTCTATAACTTTAGAATTAGATAAAAGCATTAAAGCTGTACACACCTATTTCACAACGATTACCCGAGTACCCGTCTGAGCAGATGCAGACACCATTTTGACAAACTCCACCATTTAAACAGAATACTGAATCACATGCGTCTATTATAGAAGAGAATTAGAGAAAATAAAAACATTAGGCCTATAAAATAAAATAGGCAATCGAAGAATGACTATCTAAAGCCGGACACCCACTTTCGACGGTCGTCGACCTACGCTTTCTATGAAGAACGCAACGCGACGATGCGCGCGCAATGGATCGTTTTTAATGACGATCCGTTCAGGCTGCCACCGACAACCAGCAGATGGTGTCGCGTCGTCTAACGCTCACAAGGAGTGGAGTTGGATTCGTCGTGCAACGGTCGTGAGAGCCCGGCTTAAGTATCTCATTTGATCTTACAGTGGTTTCATACTACTAACCTAGCAATAGGTATTTATGAAAAGTTTTTCATGAAATTCAGAAAATAAATGACAAACAGCACTTTTCAGACTAAAACTAGATTTACAATAGACACGATAACGACACGACGACATATCATCGCGTAGTTTGTATTATTCAACACAGCACGTATCCGTATCGTGTCGTTGGCGTATCGTAATCGTGTCTAGTGTAAATACACGAGCTTCCGACCATATAGTGGTCTACATCAGGTTAATGTGAAAATATATGTATACATATATATGTATGAAATACAGAAAACAACAAATGACTGAAACGGAAAATCTCTACCAAAGGTAACGGATTGTGGAGAAAATGAATATTATTATTATTATTATTATTATTATTATTATTATTATTATTATTATTATAAATATTATTATTATTCTTATTATTATTATTATTATTATTATTATTATTATTATTATCATTATCATTATCATTATCATTATCATTATCATTATTATTATTATTATTATTTAATCGTTAAATGGTGCATGGTTAAGCCAAGGCTAAAATACTCCTGAAAAAATAAATTAGTTCGATGTTCAAAACCCAAGTAATTTTGAACAATTAAATGTGAAACAGAGGGAAAATCTAATCTACTTTACGTTGGAGACAGGTAAAGAAATAGAATACGGCGTAATATCATCTTAGTGTATTTTTAGCAAACAGAATGTAAATAAATACTAACTTACCGCCGCCACCATCACCAATTTCACAATTTTTACCAGTGAATCCAGTTGCGCAAACACACTGGTAGATACTTTGACCAATACCATGAAAACAGGCTCCGCCATTTAAACAAGGTGCGCTTACGCATTCGTCAAAATCTAAATTAAATATTTATATATTATTAGAAATTAAAACTATAATAAGTTAAAAGATATATATTTAATGGTGTACATGTTCGTGCTGTTTAGTAAATTCATATTCGATTTGCTACATTGCCGAATTCAAGAGGACCCAATCAGCCCGTCCTCACCCACTAAATTTTTCAAATTCCTTATAAGCAAAATGCAGCAAAAGAGTATATAAAAATTAAAGTCAGAGTGCCATTTTCGCCAATATACAACTGTCATTGTCATAAATTTACTTACCTCAGCACCAAACATGATTGGGGCTGAGGTTGTCTACACCCGCCGTCTTTGAAAGTCCTTCCCTGGGCCCCTCTATTTCGATTTTCTGGATCCGCCACTACTACTAATATTGGCCTACTTTACCTTGTTGACAGTTATTTCCTGTCCAAGCCTCCGTACATATGCAGGTTGGTGTCCCTGAAGATGCATCACAAGTTCCTCCGTTTAGACAAAAACCACTTGGGCAGCCAGAGCCTAAATTCAAATAAAAAGTCAATTCGTAGTTTGAAAAGCGCATGCTCCTACCAAGGTCACTGGATACGCACATGCGCAGTTCAAACCACGAATTGACTTAATTGTATTAACAAGTTACCAGCGATGGGTTGGTCTTCTTATGAGTAGGCTTACTACTTTTAAATTCTACATATGAATTGATTTACAATTGGCTTACTATCCGGTTGTATATCGCATCGAGCCCCTGAGTATCCAAGTGGGCATGTACAGGTGTATTCGTTGGTGTCGTCAGTACACGTTCCTCCGTTGTTACATGGATTACTTGAACACTCGTCAATCTCTGAATTTCGAAAGAATATTAGTTTAAATTATTTGATTGTTGTAAAATTGTTAATGTATTGAGGACTTTACAACAGAAAATAAAGTTCACATTGTTTGGAAGTGAGATAAATTCTGGTTTACTACCAGCAAAGTGTTAGGTTTCATGCTCAGATCAGAATCCATTTTAAAGTATATTTTATACTTACGTATTTCACAATTGAGGCCAGTAAATCCCGTTCTTACACAACTGCAGACCCCAGTACCACTGTTACAGAGACCACCGTTCTGGCAAATTACAGTTGCACACAAATTCTCTAAGTGAAAATCATAATTTTAACCATGAACATTTGAAAATCAACATTCACTATTACTGACTCATAGTCAATAACAATAAAGTGTAAGAACTCTCATTAAAAATGTAATTCACTGTAGTTAATTGATATGATTATTAGTACTTACTTCCATTATTGTTTATCCCAATGAAACTAAAAATTAATTATTAAATGTCGGCTACACTATTATATTTTCGATCGGATTTGATAGCAGAAGCTTAGGTCTATTGTGTCACTCTGGTTCTTACCTGCTATAACATCTGAAGTAATATCCACCCAGTAAGTAGTAAAATTTTCCACAAACGTTGCACTGAAAGGAATAGTATAAGAAATAGAGTAAAAACCTTGTAGATATTTTTTCTCGTCATAAGCTATCAATGTTTATTGTAAAATCTTCAATCATAATTATTTGAAGAACTATCGATGATTATTTTAGTTTTAATCAATCACCAGTAAATTTACTTTTTAATAAGGCAGTCTATGTAGTAACCTTATTTATAATGTGATTATGGTTTCTGCACGTAACAAAGGTCGGATGAGCTCGGATTCTACGGCCAACCATGCTTAGTTTAAGAAGTAGGACTATTAAGTCTTTAGTGTTAGATTAAGTATTACTCTCTTGTTTATGTTAAGGGCACAGAGGTCTCCATGGTCGACCATTATTATTATTAAATGCAGTAGTAATAATATAAAATTTGCATTAGCATTCTGCCAATTATATTTTGAAATAACATAATATTGTATCATAAACATTGTGTTATTATGCTGTGTGGTCTTAATAACGAATTATAATAAACGTAATAGGTCTATTTGTAATACGTACTGAAATTCTACAGAACCAACACCTGTCGAGGGCGGTAACCAAGTGAATGTTGCCGTTAAGGGCATTAAAGTACTAGATGATTGAGTAATTCCATCATTCGTATTTGTGCATGTCATCTGCCTTGTATTATTTACGGTAGTTGTCCATGTACCAACAGGAGTGGTAGACCCTACTGGACGGGCTTGCACAAGTAACCCTCTATACTGTTGACTTCCGGTTGCTTGAACAGTAACTATTGAAATAAACATGTCGTAATTTTAATATTCGTTACGGTATCTCTTACTTTTGTTGTTTTTTAGTTATTAAGGCTTTCTTGAAGTTCAAGTTTAGTAAAAATCATGTTCACAACGAGTAACTGATTTTCAATGACTTCTACAT